TAGCTGCCTTCCCTCTAATCTTACACTGCTAATTTAGGGACGGCTAGCGCAGATAGCCCTCGTGTGGTATTGCGCGAAATCCGTAACAAACAAGCTTGTTCAAACTTGTAATTGAAACGAGTTTCTCCTCTTGACTTACATACAGACATGTTGTATTAGAATAACCTTACCAGGTATGTTCGCTGCTACTAAAAAACAAACATACTTTACATATTTTCAGTCCGAAAATGTATTGTACTGTCTATTCATTTAGTTCTCTATATTTTATAGTCATCTGCTCGTTCCACTTACTGCTATATTACAGACCTGATTACAGCCAACTCACTAATCTCGTGTAATACCATGAATAAGGAAAGCAATAAGTTTTGTTTTTACTTTCATGTCTCTATTGACTGTAGTTTTGGCTCTTTATGTTTGATTCTTTTTGCATTTTATCTATAGCAGTAAGCCCGCCGAAGAAAACCTTCATCACAATAAGATATCTAATATTTCAAACAGGCTTGAATGAACGAGCTAATTCTCGAGTCAACCATGATTCCTAGTGTGGTAATTAGATGGATGTAGAAGGACGTAAACCAGAAAAGTTATTTCAAACTATGGTACTGAAAAGATAAACTGGTAGATTAGTCGTCTGAGCCAAGGAAGCTAATTACTGACTTTACTATCTATCTATTCCTCCCACCGTTTGTCTAGCAGTCTGTGGGAACTAGAGAGAGAAAATTCCATTATAATCCCCGTGTTAAAAACAAGCTTTCTGCGTGTTTTGCAATAGCTAAACGTAAGTAATTTGTTGTTGTTTTTTGCACACATCACGCTTGATTTCTATTTACACATTACCCATACTGTGTTATATAGTTACATAGAAATATAAATTATTTTAAACTCTGACGTTTTTATTATTTAAAAAGAACGTTGATAATCTTACATGTTAACTAATGTAGTGCTGTTGGTCGACTACAAAGATAAACGAACGGAACTGAACGTTCGTTTACCTTAGGTAATCTCGGGTAAGGCAAACAGTAAAACACAAGTTATAAACTTTGCTAAAGTTATAATGTTTAAACAGGAAATAACCAATGTTTTAAGAAGAAAACACAGATATTGACATTTAGAGCAGCTCCTAAAGACAAAAAGCAAATTAACTAAGTTTCATGAAATAAAACATCTCATGAGTTGTGATAAAATAATTTATAAACAATAATCCGTTCGGTATAGCCTAACTAACCGGCTATAAGTTCACTGGGAACTTGGGCGCCTGCAGAAAGGGGCAAGAAAGGGCATTTGCCCCCTTACATTTCACACAAAATTGCACGTATTATATAAACTTAACATCGCATTTGTGTTTGTGTTTATACATTTTGCGCATAACACATATTATTTTAGTCAGTTGACTTGCAGTAAAAAAGCTGATACCCTACATACATGTTTTGCCCCCCCCCTCCCGAAAATATTTCTGTGGGCGCCCATGATTGAGAACTGCTTCGTTAACTTTGGTTTGGGATACTGCAAAGAACCGAAATATTCATGTTTCACGAACTGTTTCGAAATACTGGACATCTTTGTATTAACCTGTTTTGTAATTACTAACCTCTCTTCTATATATTTGTCACTTAAGTTCGTTAATTGAAACTGGTTAAAAAGTTCTTCTTATATTATTTATATTTTAATTTATTTGGCATTTTAGTTAATTAAAATTGTATTTATAACGAGCATATTTTTAAAAAGTTGGCATAGATGAATGTAGATTTTGGCGTAAGTTAAATAATTAAAGCTGGTCGAGCCTCAAAAGATGTTTCTGAGATTATTGCCGAAAACTCGACTATAGCAAAAGTTCCTAATGGTTAAACAGAATACGTTTTTATTCCCTTCATAATTTATGCTGTACACGATGTTATGGCGAGTATTCATCTTAAGTTAAACTCCTCTCTCTCTAATGATTATTAATGTCCACTGTAGTATTTAATTTACACTAAACTTAATACATCTGGTTAATTGGCATACTAATTAATTTATATGAATTTCTGGAGTATTTTACATTGAATGACTATGTAAATTCACAATGAAGTTAGCGATATTTCTACTATTTAATGTAACATGTTTGTTTGATTTTGAATTTCGCGCAAAGCTACACGAGGGCTATCTGCGTTAGCCGTTCCTAAATCAGCAGTGTAAGACTAGAGGGAAGGCAGCTAGTCATTACCACCCACCGCCAACTCTTGGGCTACTCTTTTACCAACGAATAGTGGGATTGACCGTCACATTATAACGCCCCCATGGCTGAAAGGGCGAGCATGTTTGGTGGGACGGGGATTCGAAACCGCGACCCTCAGATTGCGAGTCGAGCGCATTTAATGTAACAACACAAATCTAAACTTTATACAATCCTGCCAAACTGCGTATGATTTCCTAGTAATTAACAGTTTGGTAAGATCCCATAATTCCTTGCATACCACTGATATAATAATATACTATTGTTATTACTATATATAGTACACATGATGATAAAAAATAAATTCTCATACAAGTATTGTTATATAACGATATACATACTGGTATGAATAGTTGTCACGCAAAGATTGGTGATATAATTATATATATACACCTATGTACACGATGAAGGTATCCTTCATATAACTACCTATGATATACATACTTTGATATATCTATATTCAATAACTTAAAATAATATGATTTGGAAACACAGGTGTCTGTCAGTCGGGTTACACTTAGCTCAACTAATTTTTTCTCACGGTCAGCTCTATGTAGTTTTATCCAGGGTATGGTGATTATCGGTTATGTCACTGAAGGTGCAAATATTGCTAGGAAAGTTTCTACAAAGCTCTTTCAATATGAATTCGACAGTCCTTACTTTCAGACCCTGGCTCGAAATACCACAACTCTATTTTAAAATAGCTATATAAGAAACAAACACACCGTTCATTTAACTATTTACCATACATGTATTATTGATATAGTTACATGTAATACGCATGCTATTCACTGTACTGTACATTATTGATATAAACATAGGCAGAACATATACTGTTGTTATAGAACTGAATCTTGTGCACATGTCCACACATATGGCAAATATACTAAATGCACTTCCGCGGGGTCCCCGAAAGTGTCCTGTTTCAAGAGTAAATGAAACCAAAATTAAGAGTAACAAATATTTCTATTTCTTGCTTTTAAAGTTCATATGTCATGCTGTGTTGTAGCCTACAGAGTGCATAATTCTTCTCGTGATTCATGGCATATACACGTTTTACTGATGTCACGACAATACAAATTGCAACGTTAAGCGTCTCTAATGTGACGTCATTTTAGTGTCTACTGACTGACTGACTGACAGACAACATACTACTGTAGAGTGGTGCGAGTGGTTAAAACAGATGACCTCTCCAGGCGGCCTTCGACCTAATTTCGGGGAAATAATCCACAGGATTCTATGTATGGTATACACAACGATAATTTAACAATGAACCGTTGATAAATTGCCAAGGTAATTACTGTGCTTTCTGTACATACAAATAAATACGATTTATATCTTCTTACAGTGCACGATATATTATTGAAATAACTAGTTACACTTGTTTATCAATATAAGTAGATGAGGAAGGTGTACAGTTCACATACCAAAAGGATATTTTTACAACTGTGTGGTCTGCACACCTGCTTTTAGCTTTTACTCTAACATTTTTAATTAGAATGTAAATATCACGAGAGACGGTCATGGTGGTAAAAAAATTAACATAAATCAAAGTCGAGGATTGTCTATAATACCCCAGTAAAAAAAAAGAGGAGGGAATCCTCAATAGCCGCGGCACCTGATATTATTTTGGGTGAGATTAAAGTAAATTAATCTATGAGACCTTTGTTTCCCATTTTATTAGTTATATTTTTGTGCGCCAGCAATACCAAGAGTGGGGCGTGACATAAACCCGATAAAGCCTACCCTCAAATTGAAAATAAATGGGGCAGGATTCGAATAAATTAATCTATGAGATCTTGGGTGTGGACAAATTCATCAACGGAAAGGGTTTGACCTCCTGGGTTTGAAACTGTAATTAGATCTCAAATCGATCAAGAGATGACGGAGCTATGAGCTAAAAGTTTGTACTTGAAAAAACGAACAAAAAAAAACAACTCAGAGCCGTCCTAAGAACCGCTCATTCGCGGCTAAAAATGCCGTAAAATGTATCAATTACTGGTAGTTCGTATACTTAGTGTAAACAACCTTCTTTAATGTGAACAACGCATATTTAGCGTGACAGTTTCAATTTCAAAGTGCTGGCCTTTAAAAAAATGATACACTGCCTGTATACTACCTTCCTCAAATAACCACGTGACGAAACCCATCAGGTACAATGTGCTCATGTTGAACCATGGCTTCTTCGTTTCTTTGGATTTAATGTTTGTTTAGCGTGGCTATGATTGGTGCTCCACGACTACCAATACATATTTTGCTGAGCGTTGTGCTGATAGTGTATAATTTCAACAAGATATATCATGAGCCACGATAGTGGTTCATAATAGGGATCACAAAGAATTGCACAAAATCCTAATAATAGAACGTTCGGGAAAAAAAGCACCTTAAACAGTAAATATTCAGTTCAAACAACACTTTAAAACCTTTACTATTCACTGCTAAGGCTGTACACATATAAAAACGCACAAAAAAGAACACACGTTAGACTTGCAATGAAAAAAAATCCGCTCAAAATGGCTCGTTTATAATTCTTCTTCTTATTATTATTATTGTTCTCAGACGAATCAAGATTCGCTCAATTTTCGGACAGTGGAAGGATATGGGTCTGGAGAATGCCTCACCAAGAGTTTTGGCTCAACAGATTGCAGCCAACTGTGAAGCATGGTGGTTTCAGCGTGATGGTTTGGGGAGCTGTTTGTGTTGGTGGGAGATCGAGCTTAGTGGAGTGCGTTGGCAAAATAAATTTAGCGAAATACGTCGAAATATTGGAGGAAGGGCTCTTGCCGCTTTATTCCTCGGGTTTCGTGGACAAGAAGATGG